CTACTTATTATCCTACTTTCATTTCAATTCTTCTCCGTCCTTTATCTTTTTCTTTTCTTCTATATCTATATCTCCCTCTCTTTATCAATATCTCTTCTTCTCTTCCTCTCTTGTCCCTCTTTCTCTACATTTTCCTCTCTCTATATTTCTATCTCTCTTTCTCGATGTATGAATATATTTATTTCCTTATTTTCTTCTCTGCCTACTCTCTTCTTCACTCTCTTTGCATCTGCCCCCCTTTCCTTCCATATACCATTCATCTCCTTTAATTCAATCTTTGCCTCCTTCTACCATTTCCTCGCACTTTCTCTCTCGTCACTTCACTCCTGCTCTCAGTCTCTTTCTCTCTTTCTCTCTCTGCCCAGAAAACAGCCTCTCGTCCTACTTGCAGGGAGTAAATATGGAGCGTGACGGCAAAAATCAGGCCGGCCTGGTAACTGTTGTCACGACGACGCCCGACTGCGCCGCAGTCTGTGACTCTATCGGGGCTAACGGTGAAGTGAATACCTCATGGCTAGACACGGTTGCCGGGGGCCGAGTCGCCAAGCGCATCAGCCTCCTCGACCTGCTGCCACTAAGCGAGGACGGAGGGTATCCGTGCGCTCGGTTCGACGTCTGCCCGATCGCCGGCAGCCCGGGACGCATGAACTGTTTCGTGAGCAGAGGCGAAGCAGACGCGTCCTCGGGCTCCAAGGAAGACAGCATCATCTGCAGGCGCTTCCACAGTAAGTGGTCCTTTCTAGCTCGGTAGCCTAACCCTGTGGGGCGCGGCTATGTTTGTAAGAGCCTATTTTCACGGAATGGAGCTTAATCTTGCTTTATTTAGACGAATGATTATTTGCTACTGTCAATTATTTAAGTAGTATAGTTTATGCCATCTGCAATAGCTCTAGGCCCGAACGAATCCATCTAAAATGTGGGTTTCGATGACTCTGCTCCCGTTGGTTTATTCTTCCCCATGACCTTTATCCATTCCATGAGCGCTTGTAGAGGTGTTGAGGTGCTGGTGGGGTCCAGTCTGGGTCATTCAACTGACATCCGCATTCTCGGAAGGCGCTGCGACCGAACACCAACCTGTGCTTGATAAGATGAAATAACATGAAATAGGATCTGATCAATCAGGACAAGATAGGTTGCAATGATGGAGGATCAGATCATCCCCACACCTTTCTGCATCATGTTAGAATACAATTTTTGCGTTAAACTCTGGAATATTGTCCGGTCTAGGCAGACGTTTTTGGTCATGTTTTGCTGACTCAAGTTCCCCAGAAGATACCATCTCCTCTGATTTCAGCACATGGTATATATTTATAGTGATATTTTCTTGTTTGCTCCAAAATATCATTGAATATTTTATGGAAATTAGAATCATCTTATGAGTCTTGCTGGCCTTAAAACCAAGAATTGTCTTCTTTGGACTAAGAATGACAAGATTTACTGGCGGTGCCGACAAGGATGCAGGCAAAGCAACTGGGGAATGCGTCCAATCCACGGTCCAAAGCTGCAAATTGTCATGACTATTGCATCAGAGGACTTCGGACAAGGTGTGCTCAACTGGAGGGCCCTGACAGCAAGACCAAAATACAAAAACGAGGTCAAACCATTGCTACTCAGGGAAAGGTGACTTTCATTAGAACAGAGCTTTCAACATCTCGTTTTTCATATCTACAAAATACTTCCGTTGAGTATGTCACGAGTAAATGAATAGAAGATCTTATGATGCACATTTCAAAGCAGTGCTGAATGAATTGCAATCGTATTTGGATGCCTTTTACTCATCACTTTTTGGGAAATTCTATTTTAATCATACAAAATGGCACATTTGGAGTGGCATGCGAATGAAGTTTGCGTTTAAGGGAATCTCTTCCTTAACAATTGTTGAGTTATGTTATGTTCGCTCCAACTCGTTTAAGATGATAAAGGATTGCCAGATACATTCCTCCACAATTATTTGAGTAGAGCTGACTTTCCCATTGTATTTCACATAGGCTTGCTTTCCCGAAAGGTGTTCTCATCCCGGCTGAATTTGGCTGCAGTTTCGATCTCGCCTAGGTCTTATCAACAACCTCAGCGGGACTCGAACCGTGGCAGTGCAACTTGTAATCTTCACACGTTAACTGCAACGCCAATATGCCACGAGATCCCTTGGGTCACAGGACAAATGTGAATTTTGAGGGAGTCCAGGTATTTTCCCATATCACATTCTGTAGTGGGATTGCCGATAAAACTTATTTGTATTTGCTACTAGATTACTTATTTTTCATTTATCAGTCGGCTTTCGAGACTACCAGTATATCATAAATGTGAGATGTAGTGGTTAACGTGTCCAGTTTATACGCTACATTGTCGTGGTTAGAGCTCCACTGGGGGTGTTGATAAGACCTTGGCGAAGTCCATCCCCGATGAGAATAACGTTTTGGAAAACATGACTATGTGAAATCGAATGGAAACGTCATGAAAGTGTTTGGTGAATAGATTCGAAGGTCTATCTAACCAGAGAACGAAGTACGAGTTCTTTTGGCTGCAACATGCTTTTGATGTTGTCCATTTCGATTCAACGAGTAGGTCGCCAACAGGGTAGACTGTCGATTTGCATGCATTGGCCAAATTCATTCTTGTCCAGGCCTCCAGCCGAGTCGGGAATTGGGAATAGTGATGGTCTGAGTGCATTTGGACGAAGTTTAGTTCAAATGCTGCATTTGGCTCCGAGGGTTGAAATCAAGATCTGATGCCAGGCCCTAAAACGATGCAGTACAACTGCCAAACTTGATGAGAATGCGGAAGGGACAGGTCTTCATTGGACCTTCCATAAGGACTAGGCGTTAAGAAGAATTTTGCAGTAAAGCCAATCGAAATCTGGCCAAGAAGAATCTGTCGTCGTCTTCTGGCGAAATCAATCTTAGAGTCTCGTTACCAAATACTTCGATTCACAATTGAAGTTAGCCAAAAAATTATTTATTTGCGATTCATTTGTCTCATAAAAATAAGGAGCGATAATGCAATCTCATTCGGTGTATAACCAAATATTTTATTATAAATAAGGTGAAACAAGAATTGTGTTACTACTTACAATGTTGTCAGTAGTAGATATATATATATACGTATATATCGTTTCCTTTTACCTCTCTCCCTCTCTACATCTATTAGGACCGTGCCGTAAACGTATATTCCGCGTCTTCGTGTTTATTTTACGGTAGATTGTGAAATCCTTGGATTCAATGACGGAGAAAATTCCATTAACCTTTCCCATCCCCAAACTACTCGTGGCTAGAAAGGCCTAGTCTTAAAGCATATGCCTCCTCGCATCTGCTGATGGCAAATAGATGAGAGAAAGTACCAATTCTGCTCTTCTTCATATTGGATGGTGTGTCTGAGGTTGGAGCAAAGCTGATGTCCATACGTTCGAGGAATGAGACAGCCAAGCACAATGCGCCCTGTCCACATGTTTTTTGGAGAGATGGATGAGTGAGATTGGGTGGGATTCTGTACCTCTAAACAGTTGGAGTGGACAAATGAGCTTTTTGTGGCTTGTATGCATTCCCTATAGCCTCCCTACATTTATTTCCTTCTTCCTCCCCCCAACACACACACACACACACACACACACACACATGCACACAAACA